AATCTTTGTGACAATTATTTGAATTCTCATCAGAGTGAGTGTGAATCTCTACCATTTATACTTGCTATATTTTGGAGAGGAAATGACTATAAAAAATGGCCTTTCCATTCAGGAATCTAGGAGTGATAATTTACCACTGAAGGGTATTTGTTGTAATAATGATATAAATACTTGTTCATGAGCTTACACCAGCATTGTTAAAATTAACATACTTGGTCAAATAATTCTTTTAATCAATAAATATTTATTAAACTCCTACATTCCAAGCAGTGTGTCAGAACTGGGAATACAGCATACAGAGGTGAGTGTATCATATTCCCTCCCCTTTAGAAGTTCATTTGTGAGGCAGATGTGTGACTGTTATTATGGTTAGGAGCAGAGTATGTGACAGCAGAGGGGACCTTGAGATTGGATGGGTGGCCATGCACTCACTGAATTTGGGAAGGAATGCTGGGAGAAGAGAGCAGGTTTGAGTAGTTTTTTTTACATTGAAAGAACAAACTCCTGGAATTATGGCTCTTTTTTTATATGTGTTTTTTGAATTATTTCAGTTCACAGGCCCCTCCCATGAGAGCTCTCTTCATGTACATTTTTGTGCAGTGTCTCTTACCATGATCTGTTGCTGAGATGTGTTCAGCAAAGCACCCAGTGTAATTAGTAGCAAGACTTGATAAGAGAAGTGGTTCTTCTAACTTCAAGAGCTGCTTCCATCTCTTTCCTTTGCCTCTATTGTAGTGTTATAAGTCCTATAGATGGGAAGTCCATGGAGTCCATAACAAGTGTGAAGATATTCCATGGATCAGAGTATAAAGCAAATGGAAAAGTCATCAGATGGACAGAGGTAAGGAAATGAAACTTGGCATCCTTGATCCCCTTTGAGTACAACTTTTTGCAAGGTTCAGAGACACACTGTGGGCTGATTCTGGAGGGTTAAGAAAAAGAAAATATCTATTTACTTTCGATACTCCAATTCCCTCTGTCCTGTGTTAGCTCACCAGAAAGAAATGCCACCACGTACAGCCTGAAGCAATCTGATTTCTCTTCCTTTTTATTAACAAGCTTTGAGAGATTCGTTTGCATTAGAATTCAAGAAGGACGCTTCTCTGAATAGTATATACCATCTGTGCTATATTCTTCAGAATGCTGGGCTGGTTATGCTGTACTCACAGTTAAAAGTTTCTTAGGTAACACAGTCTTTTAAAAATGGGCTTATTTCACCAATAAGAAAACTAAAGCTCAGAGACTCAGTAAATTGTACAAGATAACAAGGCAAGTGAGTAATGGCAAAGTTCTGCATCAGACCCAGATTCAACCAACTCCCAAGTTCTTTTTCACCGTACGTTCCCTTTCCTGAAAGCTGTATGAGAGGCTAACCAGGAGTTAGCAGGGACACTGTATGTATGTACATCTCAGACAAATCAGGAAATTTATTCTCTGAGAATAAATGCGTAGGTTGTAGGTCTCTTAATTTCTTTTGAACCTGAGTTATACTCCTCCATAAAATAAAACATTAAATGGTAAGACTTCTAGAATTCCTTGCAGCTTTAAAAGTCTTAATTAAAAAAAAAAAAATTCTTCGACTCCTAGCTTTTTCATTTTACACACAAGGTAACTCAGGCTAAAAGAGGTTTGATGCTTTACCCAAGTTCACACAGCGGCTTCATGAGAGCAAGAGACTAGAACCTTGTTCTCCATTTCTCAACCTTTCGTTCCAAGTAACTTATCCTTCACACCAGACTCAGTGTTTTCACATTGCAGCTCGGTGGTCTCAGCAGCTTGCTTTGTAATGATTATCCCTTTGACAGATTTCAAGTAGTGCAGAGTCTGGGCCATGTGAAACTCGTTATCACTTACGAGTAGTTTCATCTCTTCTCCCTTCTTTTTGCTCCCCAGTAATCCGGTGAGGTAGCAGTGTGACCCATCTCATTTGCATAGTGAGAAAACAGGCACAGAGGCCTGGCAGAGCAGGGGCCAGAAGTCTTATGATGCCCACTGTGGAGCTCTGCCCATCATTTTGTGGTGCTATTCTCACTAGTGCATGGGGCTTCCGGGCTGCCCCCTTTGTAGTACTTAGTATAAGCCACCTAGCAGTAAGCCCTGGGGTGGTATATATAAGCATTGTGTGTTTGCATATCTGTATCTTCTATATTATGCTTTTGTATCATATTACAATAATGAAGGAGGACAGGGGCTTTCTGTTTTAAAGGCATAATTGGGCATTAAGAAGTCAAAGGACTTGCTCATGACCCTCCTGTATGTGACTAGTACTCATGACTATCAGTTCCAATTTTGCTGTGCTTCTGATTCTGTCCAGTGCCTAGTGCACTGCTCAGCTTGCTGTAAGGACACTAGTACAGTTCTGGCCTCAGCAGCGGCGTGGCCTCGTGACAAGAAAACTCTGTGATGCAAGCCCAAAGACTTAGATTCTTGAATTGGCCTTGCCTCTGAGGACTTCTGTGCACTTGAGCAACTCACTTCTCTTAGTGATATGTAACATGACGGGGCTGGGTCCCATAATCTGTAAGAGCTCTTCTCCTAGATTCTAAGAAGATTTTTGCAGAAGATTGTCTACATAAAAGGATTACCTTTTAGAAATACACAATGCTAAATGTAAGCCTTTTCTGGTTCTCAGTAGAACATACCATTATGACCATGGTCGAGACCAGAGAGATAGGCAGGTCATGTCTTCCTGCACATCTTAGGGGATCAGGGTGCTCATACACAGTGGGCTCATGCACTTGTTTTTTCCCCACATCTCCTGGGCACAAGGCTAAAGTCTCTTATTTGGGAAACAGGTGTTTTTCCTAGAAAATGATGACCAGCACAGTTGCCTGAGTGATCCTGCTGATCATAGCCGATTGACTGAGCATGTTGCCAAGGCTTTTTGCCTTGCTCTCTGTCCCCACCTTAAGCTTTTGAAGGAAGATGGAATGACTAAACTAGGACTTCGTGTGACACTTGACTCAGACCAGGTAAGAAGAGTCTTAAAAGCCTTGGAAGCTGGGCTTGAGCAGTGTCTGTATTTTCTGACATGTGAATTTTCCTGCATCAAGAAAACTTGATGGCCTTCCCTCTGTTAGTAATGTATCCAGATGTGCTGCCTGGTGAGACTGGCTGAACCATTTCAACCTCGGCTTCCTCACCTCACTGTCTTCCAGGGACTCCACTGTGAGTGTGGGGTAAGGAGGGGAAGTGTGTTGAGGACCTGCCACCCATGTGTGGATGGCATCAGTGCTCCTCTTTGAGACTTCCCAGTTCCACCCCTCAGGAATCATTCTGCCCTGAGCCAGCAGGTCCCACGCTGTCCCGTATCCTGTTTTCTCAATCCAGTTGCAGCAGGCTTCTGCTGACAGACCTCTGCACCCGTAGTCCTCAAGGTAGGACTGTCCGCATTTCCCTTCTTGTCAGAGGATGAGGACTAGATACATTGGCCCACTAGTTTTCCTGTCAGCTCGGGTCTCCTATGGCCAGGCTTCCCTTCCTGTCTTACTCTTTTTGTATGCTGTTTGTAGTAACAATCTGCCCCCCCCCCCAATTCCTTGTCCCAGTGTCTCTCTCCTGTGACCCTATATTCTTTTTTTTTTTTTTGGATTTTGGATCCCTGTGACATGTCCCACTGCTCATGCTTGAATGCAGAGTTGTGTCACTATCAGGGAAATGTGAACGGTTATGATCAGGCCCCAATTCCTGCCTAGTCAGCAGTCAATGTATTTATTTTCTACCTAAGGTCTTGACCAGTGTGGTACTAATAAGCGTATCAGGATAATACAAATGAGGTCTCCTGGTCCTTTCTTGAATGATACTGATAACCCGGTTGGAGAATTGCCTTACATAAAACAATTAAAGAACAAGCAATTTTCTGCTAAATGTGTGAGCCTCTTGAGGGCAGGGGCCCTGTTATATTCATCTTTGAATCTGTGTATGTGTAGGTGCTCAGAAAATGGCTTGTGGGTGCGTGAATGGATGGGAGAACAGATGTTCAGGTCCTGCTATTAGGGAGTTAGTTGTACCTTGTATACCTCTCATTTTAATTTCCACAACCAAAGATTCAGGTATCGTTTCTGACATTCCATACTGCTGGACATTCCATACTGGGGATGCTGCCCCCGGCCCTTTCCTGGGAGACTAAGGCCTTAACCAGTTAAGTGTCTTGCCGAAGGTCTCAGCTACCCAGTGGCGAAGTTAGGATGAATACATGACAGGCTGATAATAAATGACAATTCAGGGAAGATAAGGAGAACCTTGTGTTCACTGCTGTGTCTACCCCGTGGCCAAGGACATCTCCTTTCCAGCTCAGCCTCCTTGGCCCCCAGCCTTCTCTGTCCAGTAACCTGTCATCCCCTTCTCTCTGTGCCGTAGGTTGGCTACCAAGCAGGAAGCAATGGCCAGCCCCTTCCCTCCCAATACATGAATGATCTGGACAGCGCTCTGGTGCCGGTGATCCATGGAGGGGCCTGCCAGCTCAGTGAGGGACCCATCGTCATGGAACTCATCTTTTATATTCTGGAAAACATCGCATAGACAGAGGGGACTTCATTGTTTTTCTGTTCAGACCTGTTGCAACAGCAGTCATACCCAAATCATTTGCACTTTAGAACTGGAAGATTAAGCTTTTGTTAACACTATTAAATAGGGGGGGTGGGGTGGGAGTGGGGGTTTGGGGGCAGGGGTGGGAGAGGGTGGTCAGGGGGACAGATGTTCCATAATTCTGAGTCTTCTATGCATTGTCCACCAAGAAGATCTGGGCAGCTTCTGTACTGCACAAGTTATGCTATCCTTGCCGCTAACCCCTTCCATTACTGTAGACAAAAATCCTCCTCTAAGATTTACTTATGGTCTTGTGCTCAGAAATGCTCAAGTGGGTACAACCATCACCAAGGATGTGGTTGGGAGGGCAGAGGGGAAATAAAAAAAAGAAGCATTGGTCTTGCAATCTTTGTACAGAATTGATACAAAAAAGGAGACTTCCACACTGATTCTGTCCCACTTACATCACAGTGACTTCACGTAGAATTCACACCTAGATTTTTGTTTGTTTTTTATCAGATTATTCACTGAAGTGAATCAGAGATCCAGTGGATCATCTCTTCCATCCAAGGAGGGCGACTCAGTGTAAGTGAGGTCACTGGGATAGCAGAGCTGAATTCAGGACTGCTCAGCATCTGCCCGAGTGAATGGCAGGCATTGAAGTGGGCCTTTCTGTGAAAACTGACAGAATACAGTCAAGGCAGTTTTAGTTCTACACTAGAGGCATTTTAAAAATATTTTATTGAGAAATAATTTAAACTTTCAAGGAAATTGCAGATAAAATAACCCTACATACACTTTACCAAGATTCTCCTATGTACATATTAACATTTTGCCTCATTTGCTCTAGCTTTCTCTTTCTCCTTCTCCCTAGACTAAGGCATTTGAGAATAAGTTGCATATATCATAGTCATATACTCCTCAATAATGTTTAATTCTTTAAAAATAATGTTATCCTGCATAACTGCAACTTCAGTCAATTTAATATTAATAGGATCTTTGAACCTAGCATCTGTCCAGTCACATCCTTCGGAGCATTTTCTGTCCAGTAAAGCTTCCAGCCTAGGATCAGACTCAGCAAGTAGCTGCCCTGACTCACCTTTATGGCATCAGTATTTGTGGTGAGTATAGGTTCCCCCATCCTATTTTTTAATAGAGAATGCCTCATTTTGTGCTTTCTCATAATTAGAATCAGTTTGTGCATTCCTGGCATTCTTTAGCAGTTATGCTTGGTCATCTGTAAGCAAAAGCCCTTCCTCTTCTCCTATTCATTCATTTAATTTTCCTTGTGGACCCATGGATCACTTTTTGAGTAGCTCTAATTCATTATTTTGGTGCTCAAATGGTCTCAGCTTTGGCCAGAGAGAGCCCCTTCAAGCTAGCTCCTACATCCTTGTGATATGCTCCTACCATTTTCTTTTTGAACACTTCCTTTTCTGACCTAAGAACATGTTCTCAGCTTATCTTGTTTACCCTGCCTCAACTTTCAAATCAGCCATGCTTTCTTTTAGTAGGAGTGGCATCAGAAACCAAAATACGGTTTACCCTTGATATATGTAATATATGTGATCATTTTCTGTTAAAATTGTTTTTAGTCATGAACCAAATGGATTTCACAACTTGGTTTGGAAAATACTGGACTAGGGCAACTCCCTTGTCACTGCCATCTTCTCGAAGCCCTGGCCAAACAGGAGTCAGTCCATCCCTAAAAGCATAGCACTAAAAATCCCCTAGAAGTTAATGCAGGCCTCTGGGGCAGTGAGAGTCTTTTCCAGCACCTAGAGTTGGGCTTAGCATTTGGCAGTCACAGGCTGTGGAACTACAACAGAGCAGTTTTCCAAACAGAGGCCCAGAGACCTGGCCTTGTATGTGTGTTCATCCCTCTTCCATGGTGGTGGGGGGAGGGAGGATTCACATTCTACCCTCTGTCTCTCCATAGGCTTTGTTGATGGTAGCTAAAGAGCTCTGTGATTGTGACCGTTCCCGGAGACTCAGAGGTACTCAGAACTTCTAAGGGAAAAAAAAGCAGATGCCTAGAGCACACCAACGTGTAAGGACTTAACCCCAGAACCATCACCCACCAAACCTGACAGAACAGGAAACACTTAATAGGGGCATGTGTTTGGGGTATAACATCCAGTATGGTCTACATATATCTTAGAAGTTCAGAGCTTCTACAGGAGCTGGTTCCGTTTTCCTATGAGAGTTTACCTTCATGCTCAGTACATGCTGCAGTTGTAGCTGTTTCTTTTGGATCAGTGCAAGTTTTTGAATTCCACTAAGGACAAGCTCTGGCCCTGCATAGTCAAGGCCATTCTCAATTGTATAAAATATCCTTTGTTTAGTAAAATCATCTTGTGGAGCTGAGCATAAAGTTACCAAAGCTGGTTTACTTTTTTCCCTTGTTTTATCTGTTTCTATAAATTGTGTATTATAAGAATGATATAAAATAGAGGGTTGAAACCCCACATTTCTAAATAAGTGAAATATTTCTAGAACATAAAGATTGAGCTATAAAGCTCCTTACAAAGAAAATAATTGCCAGTCTGGTAACTTACTAAATATTTTAAAAATATTGATTGAATTCTTACCAAATGTTAGGCAATGTAGGTTCTCCAGGTATTTTTATCAACACATTCTGAGCACCTGTTGGTCTCCAGGGCTACAGAAATATGGGACTTTGTCCTGTGTAGGCTCCCATCTAGTGTCTTCCCTCACCTACTATGGTTCCTGAATGCTGGTGGGCCCAAAATTTCCAAATGAACTGACTTCTATCATAACTAATCCCTGGGGAATAATTTCTGCATCTAATGTGTTTCAGTCATCAGGCAATCTGCTGAACATTGTTTCTGTAGTATGTTTGTGGTAGTGGTTTCTAATTTAATAATGTAATGAGATTTTTAGGGAGTGAATATGTGGCCAGAAGGGCTGAAGAGTAGAGTAGGAATGATAATGCCCACTTTAGAGCTGGGGAAGCTGAGGCCCTAAGAAGGAAGTATCTGTCTGTGATGGAGCTGGACCAAGTCCAAGCTCCCTGGCTCTACGAATTTCAGCCCCACAGTTTCATCCTAAGAGGAGCTACCTTAAGGGACAAGATCTTTTAGGAGCTACCCACAATATTTAGGAAACATGCTCAGCATCTGGAAGTAACAATGTGGGTTTCACAATGGTACTATCAGAAAGGAAAATGATGTTAAGGTCACAAATATTTTGCCCTTTTAATAAGATAAATTTCCAAAAAAAAGATAAATTTCTCCCGTATTTTATTCAGTTCATGAATGCTGAAGAACTTACGTCTTGCACTAGATTGAAAAAGAGAATTTAAAATGTAAAGATCTTTGGGTTGTGACTTATTCCCAACTGCCCATAAGTCACAGATCTCTGATGTCTGGGAGCTGCATTAAGACAAATCTTAGGACAAGGAAGCTGGGCAGGCTCCTCCCACCAGCCATGACCCCTGCATGCTTTGGGTGCAACAAAGGCCTTTTAAGAATCTCAGTTTCCAAGTCCAGTGGGCGGCTTTGTCTGCCTTTCTCAGCCTGGAGGTTCTGTTTTCCAAAAGCAAAGGGTAATAAAATGGACTGATGTTAAACAGGTTGTGAAGGGAAATCTCTGAGGCACAGAAAACTACTATCAAATTAGAATAGGGCATTTCCAGCAGAGGTGTGAATTTAAAAACTCTTAAACCTGGTTAGAACCTCTGAGGATAATCACAACTGTCTTAGTAAGCATGGGGTGGGGTGCAAACCCTTAGGTGAACACTAGGTTAGGGCAGGAATCTTCCTGACCACCCCTCTTTGCTCTAGGCCACCTTGTAAAGGCTAATAACAACCTTTTTCATTCTAGATTACTGCTTGACACACAGATATGACTGCAATTTAGTGTTAGCTCTCACATCTGTAGAAATTTTGGTAGTTCACTGATAGGTAAGACTGGCCAGAAAACTTTTAGAAAATAAGTCCTTTGTCATTCCTGTTCTGTTACCCATGAATAGCTCTGCTCTTAAGGCAGGAAGCATGGTCTAGCCCTATCCTGGAAAGACACAAACAGCTCAGACCCTGAGCTGTGCTTATGCATAGTGACCAGTGAGCTGAATGTATTTGCTTCACTCATAGCCTTTAAAAAATACTGAGGAATGCTTTGTAGAACCTAATGCTTCAAAAAAGGAAGAGGAAAAAAAAAAGATGTTGAAGTTTATTTCTAAGACATGTAGAATATTGCAGTTTTGAATATTAAATCTAAATCTATTGTAACTACAAACCCCTCCGTTGTCTCCATCCATTCAGAAAAAGCCAAAGGAGAGTTTCTTGGGAAGCAACTAAGGTATTTCTCTAGGTGATCAGCAGAAGACCTACGCTTCCTTCAGAGAGGAAGCCACAGCTGCAGTTTCTGTCAATTAACAAACATTACTGCCACTCTGCCTTTTAAAGGTGACAGGGAATAGAGCTTTTATTCAGGACTTTGATAGTTACTCTGCATATAGAATGTAAAATCCCATAATGAATTAGACCTACTTTCTTAAATAAAAACAGCTAGATAAAATTATATATTTATATATTTTTTTCTTTTTTTTTTTTCTTCCAGTTAACAGTCGTTTAGTCTTAGGTGCATGGACCAAACCCGAGATGCATCCTTGCCCTTACTTCCCAGCACCACATTCCTGAATGTCCCTTCCCTCCTCTACTGCGAGCTTTGGGAAGCAGGGAGGCTAGGGCAGCAGCAGTCAGGAACCAAGGCACAGGCACAGCTGGGGTAAACTGAGTTGAGTGGGACAGGCTGCCACTGACCAAGTGGAGTCACGGAACCCTGCCCCCACCCTAGGCCGGGGGGGGCATTCCCGATCACCCTCAAGTTCTCCCATCCCTTAGTTAGATCTTTTAAAGGCACATCCAAAAATGTTGCAACTGGGGGCTGGGGTTAAGCTACACACAGTTGCTACACAAGGTTAAGGGGATAGAAGACTCCATGGCACAGAGCAATGAGGCTACCTTTGCCCTGCTGGAAAGGGAGGCAGTGGAAGGGGGAAGGGACTCCTGGAATCCAGCCTGCTGGGGTAGAGGCCCAGGGAGGGGCCAGCAACGGGAAAGGCCAGGGCTGTGTGATCAGTAATGCACATACTTCACAGATCTTTGGTGCTTGTGTAGCAGCATCTTCCTTATGTACAAAGCCTGGGAAAAGTATGCTCCCGCACACAGTCGCTGGCCTGTCTCCTCTCCCGAGACGGACGCTGCACAAGGGCACAAAGCATATGTAGTAAGTCTAAACCACAGTGAACATGCAAAGAGTTTAGAGAAGATTTCCTGCAGACAGATCTGGGATCTCCAGTTCTCTTGAGGATCATGATAAACTTATCCCAAGCCCTACCCAAGTTTTGCCTCTTGGTTGTCCATACAGATGAGAAAAGGGAATACTGGAAGAATCTAAGGGCAAAGGTTCAAGGACTCAGGCAGCTGCCCACCTTACAGGCCCCTGGGCTCCAGGACCAGCCAGTTCTCAGTGACTACTTGCATGTCTTGGCCACTAAGAGGCTCCCGCAGCCTCACCTTCACCTCCAGCTTGCCCCCAGTGGGCTTCCTTCCATCTAGGACCTGTGAAGACCACAGAGAGAGGAATGGTGACTAAGAGGGGGCAGGGGCTGGGAGCACACAGCTCCCTAGGCTCCTAAGTCAGGAGAGGAAGGAGTGTCCTGCAGTGCCGACACAGGAGTCTCCATTTTGTGACCACCCTGCACTCCTGCTTCTTGGTAGTTTTAGGTTGGCTTACAAAAAGTAACATGTAAGTCCGACTAAAAATCAATGCTCTGAAGTGGAGATGAGAAACCCAGAGCTCTGTCCACTCAGTTTCCCCATGGCAGCTCCTGGAAAAAATGGTCTGGCTTCAAGCTACAGCCTGAAAACCACCAAGCCCAAGCCCACACTTCACAGTGCAGAATGAAGTGAATGGTAAGGTTATATAGCCACTGTGGGGCAAGGCTGGGACTAGAACCCAGACAAAGAGTTTCTTTCCACCCACTACACTGCTTTCCCTGTTGGCCGGAGCCTGGGCAGCTGCAGCACTAAACAGTGCTACAGGCTCAAGCAGCCCACCCGCCTACAGCAGGACCAATACAGAGCAGGCGCTGCTTGAGAACGTCTCCCCCAAGACAGGCCAGGAGTGGGGACAGGCACACGTGGTGGGGAAAGCCCCAGCCTACAAAGGCATCAGTAAGGATCTGGGCTGAGGCCTGCCAGGGGCATGAATATATGTGCTTATGGAACACGCTTCTCGCTGGACCTTCATGTCCTCCCATCAGAAACAAGCTCTCAGAGCCCCTGCCTGTGAAATTCAGTGAGTTCAATGAGTTTAAGGAGCTGTCTGGAGCCAATTCCTAAACACAGACTACCTACATTCTGGAGGGGTCCCCAATCTGTAACTACTTATCAGCTTTATGCCCAGAGCTTGTTCCACTTTATCACGCTGCTAGACAACTGCCCCAAACACAACTCTGCCCCCACCAAACCTAGGAATTTGTGCATGCCAAGTTGACAGCAACACTCAGATCCCTAAAACCCCTCTAATCCACCATCCCTGGGAACTTAGGTGACTCAGAGTATTGCGGAAAGAGTATCACTACTTCTTGTCCAGTGTTGCTATGGAATTTTCTCAAACCCTGTCGATCTCTACATTTGTGGCAAGGGAGTACCTTGCCTAGTCTACAGCACTTTTATTCATGTCTTATAATGAATGGGCACCAGAAACCTACAATAGGGACTGTTATTCAATGAATATTGGCTCTTACTTGCCAAGCCCTCTGGTTTGCCCATCCTACCTCCACAATCTCTCTGATCTCACACTCATTCTCCAGCCGCTCCAGCTTCACGTGGGCTGTGCCAACCAGTTTATCACTTCTGAAGAAGGATCTGGGGAACCAAGAATCAACAGAGTATCAGACCAGGAAGAGCAGGGAAGAAGGCAGCACTGAGACAAGTGGGCCCACTGCAGGAAAACTGAGAAGCAGTAGGGGCAGCAACAGAAGCTATTCCTTCCTTCCAGCCATCTTGGCAGCGTAACTGACCAGGGCCTCACCCTTTGTGGAAGATTTCAAACTTGATTCCTTTGCTTTGGATCACCCTCCTGAAGCCCCGGTGATTTCGGTTGATGTTTAGTTTGAAGAGTTGATCAAATTCTGCAAGAATGGAAGAAGACAAGAAGTGGCTCGAGCTCCCAAGATTAACTGACGAAGTGGAAACAGAGGCTCACAGCTGGCCTACCCCCCACGCGCCCCCCCCCCCCGGCGCCGCCCCCACCACTCTCTGCCTTCAATTCAGAGTAACTGCCACCAGAGGGTGGTAGAGTTTCTAGGTCCTGGCCTTGGAAGCCCACACAATTTTTGCACTCTTATTAGACACAGATTCTACCAAAATGTGAAGAACTTGGATCCAAGTCCCATTTCTACCACCTCCTTGCTGTGGGGCCCTAGGCAAGTTCCTCTACCTCCCTGAGCCTCAGTTTCCCCAACTGCCTTACTTCCCAAGTTGAGTAAACCAACTAAGGTAAGACCCGAAAGCATTCTGAAAACAAAAGTGCTGCACACACTCATGAGAGCGAGCGGGAGGAGAAAGCAGTTCTCACCTGGAGAGTTTGTGTTCTTCACCACAGCTGTTTTGCTTTTTTGAGCCTGGTCCTAAAGCAGTAAGATGGGAGAAGTCCTATAGTTGCTCTATAAGGCAAAGAGCTCTAGGCTAAATTAAGTCCGTGTTGAGGGAAGTGACTGCGCCCTGTAAGGAATGTACTCAAGGGTCTTCAAACCCTTCCCAGCAGCCAGACCTCCCAGGGAATGCAGAGAAACTGAGCACAGGGTCCTAGAAGAGGGGGGTTCAGGGGATCCTACCTCTACCTGAACCTCACCGAGTTAGGGTAGTGGAACTCAAACCGCACAAAGGCATCCAAGTCATCAGGAGTCACCCCTGTGAAGGAGAAAGGGTTCAGGAGGAGGAGCCAGGAGCCCTGTGCTTGATATGAAGGGAGAGCCAGTGCCTCTCTATTGGCCAGGGGTGAAGTGCCTGGGCAAGAGCCTGGAGCAGACGAGGCCTTAGGACTACCTGAAGGGGCTGGGAGGTTCATTCCCCGGACAATGATCAGATGCATTTCTGTACTGTTGAGTTCTGAGAAGATCCTATAACCAAGAAGAAAAGAACAAAGTGAAGGAGAGTGGTAGGAAAAGGTCCCCTCTTCCAGTGCCTGCTTGCCTGCCTGCCTCACTGGGAGGTGGTCAGGAGAGTAGGCCCAGGGAAGCAAACTGTGTCTGGGAGAACAGCAGCAGAGCCAGTACACAGACCTCAGACCTACATGACCCCCAGTCCGAAGTTCCTTCCACAGCCACCACAGCTCTGAGCTTCTTGCAGGCGGACAACCACACCCCACTCCTCCCCAGTCCTGTCCCTGCATGGAGCCACAGTTTCACTTAGGCTTTGGCACCTCACAGTCTGGAATGTCTTCAATTCAAAGTGATGGCTGGGAGGGTCAAGACCCTGGGCCTGGGCCAGCTGCAGGATCTCAAGCTGCTTCTTGCGGTCCTGAGCGAGATTCTCAAACCTGACAGGGATGGGTGGACCCATCAACATGGCAGGGCTCATTTTCTCCTCCCCACCCAGTAAGCTCCAGCCCCAGGCCTGGCACTTACCTGGTAGTCTCAGCCACATTGCCCTGGTGCATGAACTGCTTGGAGAACAGCAGACACTTCTGAAAATAAGGACCTAGGGTGACTCCAGAGCCCACAGTAAGCCTGTCTAGGTTGGCATTTGAGGCCTGATTTCTGAAAGCTCCAACCTTCTTCTGTAGCCTCAGCCCTCCTTCCTCCAGCACATACTCCAAGGCCACTGTTCCCAAGTTCTATCACACCTTTCTGCCCAAGTTTTTGCTGTTTTCTTTCGAGGACAGCCACTCCCCAGAATTCACTTAGCAAATTCCTATTCTTCCCTCAAAACCTAACAGAAACATCACTTCAGAAACAGACTTAAAGGCAACAGTTCAGACAGATACACACATACAGAAATACACACACACATCCATCTTCCTTCACACTTCCCTCTTGCTCCTATTTTCAAAGTATTTTCCCTGTGGTCATAACCAATAAGTAGAAGAACTAGAATTTGAATCCAGGCCTGTTTGACCTGAGCGCTACACCTTTCCCTGAGGGGCTGTGGGCAGAGAAAGCGGAAGACAGACAAGCAGTCCACTAACCTCATGTTGCTCCAGAAGCATTTTTTGTAGCTGGGCATACACCTCCTCAGCCTTCTGGGAGAGTCGCAGGTCCTCATGGTGAATGAGGATGAAGTCACCCTCCTCATCCGTCAAGGGTGAAGGCACCTGCCCAGGTCACAAGGCCCCTCAGGGGCCCCAAGAGTCAGATTATTCCTCTACTGAGCCTAACAAACGCAAAATCCAAACTGTTTCCCCAGTGCTAACCTCCAGTGATGGGAACTCACTGCCTCCCATTCTATCCCAGGCTGCCACAATGCTCCACTTTCCACTAGCCTTGCCCTGCCTTGTCATCTCTGACCACAGGCAGCCCGTCTGGCCTTCCCTGGCCTCTCTTGGGGCCATGGGATAGAGTAGTATAAGGAACAAGCCCTTTCCCAGGTGTCACCCTATCCTAGCTGTACCCCACCCCCTCCACATAGCTGCTTCGTTCCCTGTCTGTCAAGGCTGCCAAATGCCCCCTCTGCCTGAGAAGTCCTGTTGCTCAATGAGGTGAGACTCACCTTGGAGAGGTCCACAGGTCGTCCAGCTCGTACCTGGGTGATTTGAGCCTCGAGGCATTTGGCTACCCTCAGATGGGCTTTGGCCTGCTCCAGGTCCTGGCCACGCTTGGCCTGCAGCGCTGCCCGCTGGTACTGCAGTTTCCGTGCCTCTAGCAATGCGAGCTGCTCCCGCACTAAAGGATAAGGGACAATGGTTAGAGCCAGGCTTGTCCCTCACGAGAGCCCTCACCCTTCCAGCCCTCTTCTCCCCAAACTCACCAGACGGACTCACTGACTCCTTAGAACTTGAGGCCTTGGATTCAGGCACGGCCCGGAATGAAGGGACCACAGGCTTCACTGGCTTCTTGGCCACTGGGGCCTGGGCTGGGGACTCATCCTGCAGGTGCCCAGGAAGCTGTCAAAGGGGATCTGCTCCCTGCCCAGGCTGTGGCAGCTCCCAGACCTGGGCTCTCTGCCTAATGCTGCACTAACCTGCTGTATAACCTGAAATGAATGGCTTTCCCTCCTGGGCCCGAGAGAATCTCAGAGCTGGAAGCAGCTTCAAAACCTTCCCAGTAGGAAACAGCAGGGTAATGGGGACTGAACCTGGGCCCTGGAGTTTGAAAGACGCTGGTCTGAATCTAGCTCTGCTAACTCCTAGCTGCGTGCACTTGGCCACGATTTTTTCCTAGTAAAATAGAAGAAAGCTTACCTACCTCGCTGGGCTCGTTAGTATGAACAAGTCTGGGTTTATCCCTCATCTGTTATTTTCCCCCCAACCAACCCCTGGAGTCTCAGGCCCTCAGCCAAACCTCATCCTCATTTTCCTCTGCTGGGGCTGTATCCTCTGTGGAAACCAGCTTCTGGGCAGCTGCTAAAGTAGCTGCCACTGCGTCGTCCTCGGTGCCCATGGTGGGCTCCAGGCCAGGAATGGGGGGGGAACCCTATGCAAGACAGAGACAGTTAGCAGAGGGGGAGGGTGGCCTTGGGGAAGCTCTAGGCTGCTGCGGGCTTTAGCTGGGTCTTCTGGCCATGGCTGGGATGGACGGCTTCTACAAAGTGGAGGCAGATATGGGAGAAAATCTTTCCCTCTCCCCCTATCTTGCTCAGGGACCTCCTCATAAAGCCCCTAGGCCAAGCCCCACTCACCTGGAGGAACAGGCAGCTCGGCAAAGTCAACCCTCCGTCCTGCCCGGTGTGCTCGAATGGCATCTTGATATTGCTGCAAGGGAAGGGAGGGCCTTACAGTGGGCAGCAGTCTGCAGGCTCCACACAGGGAGGAAGACAGAAAGCAGCCCCAAAGGGAAAAAGAGCCCCTGAAGCAGCAGGAACTCCAGAGAGACAGAGAGATGGAGATTCAAAGACTAGCAGCAGCAACACAGAGTAGCCGCCCAGGGAGACAGGCCGACACAGGGCAGGGCAGCTGTGGGCCCACCTTAGCAATGCGTTCATGCATCCGCGCCTTGCGCTCGTCCCCACTGCTCCGGGCCTGGGTGCCCACCTCCCGGTACTTGTTCAGTCTCTGCTGCAGGGCATCCAGCACCGTCTGTGGCTCAGCGGGGACCCCTTCAAGGAGAAAAGAGATGGCATCAGCTCTGCTGCCCCTCCCCAGGTCCCCACTCCGCAGTTCCACCATCCCATCCTACCTGGGGCTGCTGGAGTGTCTGAGGCCATCACTGGCTGCACTCGCTCCACTGCTGGGGATACAGCTGAGGGTGCTGTGAGAGCTCTGGAAGCCTGTGGAAGGGGCTTCAGATCTGGGGACCCAGAAGAGAGGTGGAGGTGCATGGCCAGTCCCAGCCCTGAAACTTCCCAATCCCAGCCTGAGCAGGTCCCACCCCACTGTCTCCACACTGACCCTCTGGTGCGGGGGGCATGGCACTCAGGTCCACAGGCTGTCCCTTCTCCAGGGCCTCTAGGACTGCACCAAATCTCTACAGTAGGAAAAGGAGGTGTGGGCATAAGCCTGGGAACCTCTCTGCTGAAAAAACTCCCCCCTCAGACCAGTCTCACTCATGCTCAGTCTATATGCGTGACCTTGAGCAGGTCCCTGCCCCCATCTGTGAAACAAGGGGTTGCACACAGAGCTGGAGTCAGACGTCATACCTTCCCAATCCTCATGAGCTCCCGGGCACGGTCTAGGTCTCCAGCCCGCTTGGCATTCAGGGCAGCCAATTTGTACTCTCTCTGTCGAGCCAACAACAGGGCCTGTGGGTCTGGGTCTGAATCAGGTGGGGCAGAAATGCCAGGACCACCCAAGAGGCTTGTCTCCATCTGGGAGGACTTGTCTATAAAGAAACAAAAAGCCCGCAGAAGGAGCATGAGTGTCAAAGAAGAAGGTGCACACCCTGGGTTCCCAGTGCCTACAGGTGTGGGTGGGGTGACGACCTTTTAGTAGGTGCAACTCATGACAATGGACAGCGTGGCAGGATGGGGAAGCAGGCCATGAGCTCTGGCTTCGGAGACTGGGCCAGGACTTGAAATGTCTCCAGATACCTGGCTCCATGGTGAAGGGAGCTGGGGCATCCGCCTCTGGGTTCCTGTCAGTTGTTTCCTGGGGGACAGGCTGTCTCTTGCCCAAGGCCACTGGAGGTGGAATCTCATCCTCACTGATCTTCCTGCCTTTCCTCACAGCAGCCAGCTGGGCCTCCAGAGTCTGAGGGAGAGAACCAGAAGCTCAGCCAGCCAGCGCAGCCTGAACTCTGCTTGAACACAGGCCAGGAATCCTTCACAAGGCTGATGGGGAAGCCTCCCCCTTGCTGCTTTAGCCAGTGCCCTCAGCCCTGCTCCTCCCAGCCCTGCTCTCTGGCTAGGCCCAACCCACCTTTAGGCCACGCTCACAGCGCCTGGCTTTGGCCGCTTCACCTGCCTCCTTGGCACTGGCTGCGGCCTCCCGGTAGTTGTGGATCCGATCCTCCAGAAGAGCCTGCAGCCCCCGAGGCCCTCCAGCCTGTAGATACTTCAGTTCAGGGCATGGCCACTCCAGGGCCAGCTAGGCCCTTGCTGCTCCCTCCCTGCAAGGAAGCTGCCCCAGAAAAATGGAGCTCTTGGATTCAAGGAGAAGGAAGAGCCTAAAAGCCTCAAGGTGGGAGGCAAAGATGCACTGGAGAGGCCAGAGGCCATGTCAGAGGAAAACATAGAGGCTTAGACAATCTGTGGAGGCCAGGAAACAGCTGCAGGGGGTGGTCTGGGAGAACAGAGAGGCCTTTGAGGCTGGCCAGCCACCAAGCAGTTTCTCATGTTCTGCCTCTGCATGGAGAAGCTGCTGGAGGAGGACCCTGGAAAGGGTTACTGCAGCCTTCCTACGCAAGCCATGCAACGTGCACGTTACACACAGACACAAAGTGGCATCAGAGGCACACAGTATCCCTCCAGAACCTACCTGAGCTGCTGGGATCGAAGCTGTTAGCAGAGCTGTCTGTACTGGAGCTTCAGTGTCTTCCTGTCCCTTCTCCTCTTCAGAGCCACCTGGACTAGCTGTCTTATCACCATCCAGGGGCCCAGTCACCTCATCTGCACCCAGGACCTCCTGCAGCTCAGTCTGGGGAGACACAAGTCTCAGGAGCTTGGGAACCACAGAGACATACCCATGACAGCATACGAGCATAAAGGACCCTCTCCCCCAGCAGTATTTCCCAGCATCAGTCACTGTGCCTATCACTGCGTCCTCTTTACCAAAACACTCCTTTAATCTGACCAAGGAGAGCCTTCAAACAGTGAAAACTCCAAATCGGAAAAATCTCTGAATGCATAGTTCAGACCAGACATCAAAAAAGACCAGTCTCACACTGCAGTTAGGAAAATGGGCCCAAGAAGGGCAAGGCACTCACTCAACCTCAAAACACACACAGAAACAAACCCCAGGCCTCCTCCACAGGCTTGATCACAGAGCCCTCGGACACCAGCGTGGCAGACCCACCAGCAAGTCTGCATCCTCCTCCAGCCCTTCCTCCTCCTCCTCCTCCTCCTCCACATCCTGCATACAGTCTGCAGCCAACTTCTCGATGTGGGCCATAGGCAGGGGGGCTGATGGAAGAGGGTCACAGAGGGTCAGGGCAGGCAGAAAAGGTCCATGAGGAGGGTGTTCAATCCACTGTGCCAGCAAGACACACCCAAATAGAATCCTCCTTCCCTTCCACAGCCAAAGTCCCACCTGGAAAATTCCTGCTTTTCCTTATGACCCAGCTCAAAAGACCCTAGGAAAAGGTGGGGAAGCTTCCTGGGAATGCTCCCTTCTTGGCATTTTTTGTTGTCATAGTTATTCATAGACCTGTCCATCCATTCCCCAACCACACTTTTGGCACATGTAAAGATTTTTAACGTCCAATGGAGCTTCACGATAATTCTGCAAGATAGGTGATACTATCCCCTTTTTATATGAGTGAACTGATAATAATATCCGTGTTAATTTTCCTCACACTGCAATCCTCGTAAATGGCAGAGCCAAGATTCAAACCCAGGCTCATCTAACTCCAAAGTGTGTTTGGACCAACAGAGAAGTAAGGGCCATGGGTCTCCCAGACCAGTGATGCCCTTCCCACCATCTCCCACTGTCCTCATCTCAGGGGCACGAGATGGTGGGGGTGGTTCTTGCTAAAACAAAGGTGGGATGCTCAGATCCTCCCAGGCTTCAGGTCTCTGCCCTCTTCCAGGCTGGGGAGGGGGATTCCACTTATTCATTCAACACAATTTCTATACACTTATTATGTGCTCAGTGTGGTCCGTGCTGAGCTCCTCCTCTGTAATGGGCCTTGGCTAGGGCTAAGACAGAGAGGTGAGTCTGTCTGAGAATCAGACTGCTGACTGTCCATAATGCGGAGAGGCACAGTCAGAGGACTGAGATTCCATCACACAGGTGTATGAGCAGGGCAAGACAGCCTCTTGGTGGGAGGGCTGCCGAAGGATGGATATCAGAAGGACCAGGTGATCTCACATCCTCCCAGATGTGAGGAGAGAACCCTCTCTACCATCTGCCTAAACACGTCTGGACCCAGCAATGGGCCAGCCCAGTGTCACAAACTCACCCTGCCCCTTGGTTGTGGGTTTCTTGCCTGAAGCCCCTGCTTCCCCAGTGAGGGCCAGCAGTTCAGCCTCAAGATCTCCGTCATCTTCAGTGTCCTCCATCCCCAGCAGCATGTCCTCAGGGCTGAACTCCACAAAGAGCCCCAACTGCGAGGAGAGAAGGGTTCTTAGGAACCACACAATGAGGACCAGTCCCAGAGCCAGTCTTAGGCTCCTTCATTATGTGTGAGGCCCAAGGTGAGGACAGGGAAAATGAAGCCTACAACATTAGCCTTTGTGAAAATTATCTCCCTAGTGACTGTAAACAACCCAGTAAGACTACCATTGCCATTATTATTACTCAGACCACATGAGTACTAGCTGTCAGGCATGTACTTAGCATTCTACATGATTATCTTCATTAATTCCCATAACCCTGAGACATTAAGTCTTTTTTTTTTTTTTTAAATTGTGGTAAAACACATATAACAGGGGCATCTCGCTGGCTCAGTTGGAAGAGCCTGTGACTCCTGATCTCGGGGTCGTGAGTTCGAGCCCCACACTGGGTGTAGAGATTACTTAAAAATAAACCTTAAAAGAAAACAAGGGGCACTTGGGTGGCTTGGCTGGTTATGGGTCTGCCTTTGGTTCAGGTCACGGGCTCAGGTCATGATCTTGGAGTCCTGGAATGGAGCCCCACATTGGGCTCCCTGCTCAGTGAGGAGTCTACTTCTCCTTCTCCCTCTGCAACACTCCCCCCACCCCCGGCTCTTGCACACACTCTCTCTGAGTAAATAAAATCTTTAAAAAACAAAACACATGTAACATAAAAATTATCACCTTAACCATTTTTTTAAGGTAAGCTCTATGTCCAATATTGGGCTTGAACCCAGGACCCTGAGATCAAGAGTTGCATGCTCTACCGACTGAGCCAGCCAGGCGCCCCTCGCCTTAACCATTTCCCAGTGTTCAGTTCAGTGGCATTAAGTACCTTCATGCTGTTGTACTCCACTGCCACCAGCCATCCACAGAACTCTTTTCACCTATTCAACAACTCCCCTTCCCCCCACCACCCCATCAACCACCATTCTACTCTGTCCCTAAGAACTTGACTACTCTAGGAAAAGGTTGCCCTATTTCTATTTCCATGCTCAGACGAAACTGAAACACAGTCTTATAAGTGCCAGAGACAGCATTTAAAATAAAGGTCTTTGTGATTTCAGTCTAGGCTCTTTATTCCACAAGCTCCCTTACCCACCTCTTTTAAGACAATAAAAACGGACTAAGAAGTCTCAGAACCTGGGAAGAAGTAAAAGGAGCAGACTGGAGGGCAGATTTCTGTCTCCCACCTGAGCCACAGCCTTGTGTCCCTAAGCAGTAAAACTCTTCCAGTTGCCACAGTTCTCAAGCTCTGGCATCCTTGTCTGGCAAGCAAAATCATGGCCCTAAATGAGAAACCCATGACAGCGACGACACCCCACCAGAACACCCTAAATTCTGTGGCTCCTGAACCCTTCAGAACACTCATATGGAGATGGCAATGGCAGGAGGGTGCCTGGGTTGAAACACAGCAGAGTTCACACCTCATCCCCTACATGAGAGTGACAGGGGCTAGTCAGAGGCTCTCTAACAGCTCTCCCAACTCCAGGAGGAACTGTTCAAAATCTCTGGACTAATGGGGAAACTAAACAGGTGATCAAGCCGCCTAGAGAGCCCCCACCCCAGACTGGCCTGGGAGTGGAAGAGGCAATATCCATACCTGCTTTGCAGCTGCCACACCCTGGCCACTGGCCTGGGGTCCTCTCCGAGGTCTTGGCCCTGGCATCTTGACAGCCTAGGTACCTGTCTGATGGCGAGGGGAAGAGACTCAGACTGGAGCAGGCTACAAAGCCCCACCCCCAATAGCACTACGTGTGGTAGGGTGTGGCTCCTAAACTGTCAAATCAGAGAAGAAAGGCAATCTTGAACACCAAAGGATGGAATACTGTCACTGGAATCATAGCACTGGAGCAAGCAACATGGGAGGTGGAAGGGATGGGGCCCACCTGTTAATGGGTTTAAGTGGAGAGTGTGGACACACAGTAAGAACTTACTGAATCTGACTGACCAATTTGGATTAAACCCAAGAGCCTGAGTGAGGGGGAGCGGCACAGGAAGGCAGATTCAGGAACCAGGTTTGTGCAAGGCTGGATAGGATTCAGAAAGGCTCTAAAGCTGTGTTGTCAAACATGGTAGCCATATGTGGCAACTTAACTTTAAATTAAAATTCAAAATCCAGTTCAACTAGTGGCTTCCACTGGCCAGCTGAACATTTTCATCACCACAGAAAGTTCTATTGGACTGTTCTGCTCCAGAGAAATCTGAGTCAGCATTCTGATTCAGAGATCTCACAACCTTTCACAGGACCTACTATGTGAAAGAACGTGTGCTGGGCACTGCAAGAGCAGGAATGCCTCTGACACCGTCTCAGCCCTCAAAGTGCACTTACATGGTGGAGACAGCCTTGACAATGGACTAAAACCACACAGGGCTGCTGCAGGGGCCCTGTATCCCCAGGAGCCGCCACTTATCCAGCAGAGAGAAAAGGCTTCATGGACAAAGTGATGCTTGTGCTGAGTCATGAAAAAGTTGAGGGTAAGGAAGGGTTATGGAATTCCAGAGGGAACAACCTGATAATGGTTCCGAACTGAGAAACAACTTGATCTGCAGAAGCTAAAGACCTGGGATTACTGGGGCATAAAAGTGTGAGACGGGAAATAGCACATAAGAAGCTGACAATCCGTACAGGAGGCAAAACGGGAAATCCTTTAAGTCTAAGGATCTGGGCACGGGCGTGAGGGCAGTGGACGTGACGGGACCAGATGGGCAATTCAGAAAGCTCCCTCTGGCTGCAGACGGGAAGAGGAGGCTGGAAGCCTTCTTGGCACCGAGCATCTCGCAACGGTCCCCGTGAACGTGGAGAGCGGAGGGGAGCGCGGGGGTGGCGTCGGGGATGGAGAGAAGCGGCTGGATTTCACACTTAGAGGGTAAAATCAACAGGGCTCCGAGGTTAGCTGGCTGTGGGCGCACGGGAGGAGGCGCTCAGGGTGACTCCAGCCGTCAGAGTTCGCTGACTTAGGGGAACGGCCGGCCGTCACCTGAGCCGGGGGCTCGAAATGAGCGGACTCGGGGAGAAACGAGGTCGGAAAGGCCGAGTCTGCGGCTCCGGGGCTTCGGGCAGGGAGCGTCGGTGCTGGGCCGGGACTCAAAAGAGAAGACAGCGAAGGGCGCAGGGGAGGCGAAGCCAAGGGACCCCACTGCTGCGCTGCAGGACGCGCCGCCCTGCCCTGCCCCAGCGCCTCCATCTCCCCCGCAGCCCTGTATCTCCCCTCGCCGGGGTGTGGTTACGCTGCATACCTCACATCGGATCCGAAACCAGCCTGGGCCTGATCCCGCCTGGCACCGCCCAGGGCTCCTGCGGCCCCCGGGCGGCGGCGGCGGCGGCGGCGGCGGCGGCGGCGGCGGAGGCGGCGCAGGCGGCGCGGGCAGTAGCCGTGACAGGAAGCGACCCTGCAGGAGACGGCTCGCGCTCTAACACGTGACTCCACGGCCCGTAAGGCGCGCAATACGCATGCGCAAAACGAGGTGGGCGTGACCTTCCAACAGGTGACTCGAAGCGTGAGTTTTTCAGTGCGCAGGCGCCTTCGGGCAGGTAGCGCGACGCTCGCGGAGACGACAGCTGGGCGGTTTTGGGGTGTGCCGCTGCTTGCGCAAATGCAGTAGGTGCGTCCCCTGCCCCTACGTTTACAACTTCGCTGCCAAGCTTCCACCCTCATTCCCACTACGGTGCTTCTGGGCTCACACTCGCCCCGCCCCCTCGGCGTGGAGGCAGGCCTGGCGCACGCTCTGCCCCAGAGGTGGGGCTTCCCTGCTAGCCTACTGCGCCGGGATTGTCTTTGTAATAGAGTCTAGAGAAATGAAAATGGGGTCACCGTTTGTTTCTGAATCACTCAGCAATTGAATGTATCTTTTCTAGTGAGAAGGCAGGTTGAGTACCTAAGACAGGCAGTGTTGATGGCACCTCTTCATGAAGTCACTTTAGACAGTTTAACACGAAGAGATTAGGACGATGAAATGGCGGGTGGAGGCGTGATACAGAGAACCTTGACCTGAAACAAACGCCCCAACGCCTAATCCTGAACTTCTACAAAGGACTTTTCATTTTCTTACTGCCTTTGGGTTATTTTCAAAGAGGTTTTCTTTACCATTTAAAATTTAAGTTTCGCTCTCATATTTCTTCTTTTTAGTAAGTTTTGTTTTATGAAATATTTAATATATACAGAGAGATATACAATATCTCATATTTGCTTGAATGGAAGCTCCACGAAGGCAGACATTTCTATTTGTTCTTAAAGTTATCTCCGGTGTTTAGAACATTGCATGGTACCTGGTAGGTACTCAATATATACTTCCTATTTTTTGTGTGAAGGGACATAATACATAGGTATCTATCACGAATTTAAGAAAAAACAGTACAATACACCTGAAACCACCCTACACCTTTCATGTTGCAACCGTTTCCCCAAAGACAAACCTACTCCCTTATTTCTACTATCTACAGCATTTTTTTGCAAGCTGTAACATTGTATCATTGGTATCACTACATATATTCTACAACTTCTTTTTCTATTCAACTCTATCTGTAAGGTTCATTCACATCTAGCAATTTTCCCTTCTCTGTGGTATTTCAGAGTATGCAAATGGGGGCGCTTGGGTGGCTCAGTGGTTAAGCCTCTGCTTTCGGCTGAAGTCATGATCTCAGAGTCCTGAGATCAAATCCCACATAGAGCTCTCTGCTTGGCAGGGAGCCTGCTCCCCCCACCCAACCCCACCCCCTTTCTGCCTGCTTCTCTGCCTACCTGTGATCTGTCAAATAAATAAAATCTTAAAAAAACAGAAGTGTGGAAATAATCCACTTTCCCAATGGCAAGTGCTATGAACATTCCTGTACACAACTCCTGGGGAGCACAGTGTTTCTCTAGGGCTTATACCAAGGAGTGGGATTACTGGCTCATAGGGTTTCTGCATTTTCCAGATTAAATTTTACCAGATCATCTCCAAAGTAGTTTCGGTTTACATTCCTGTCAGTGGAGCGTTTGGGTTCCAGTTGTTCCCTATGGTCGTGGAAAGGTTTTCTAATACATGTGAAAGGATTTTGACTTGCAGGCCTCATTTACTATGTTTCCATTTTGTTGGTCATTTCATGTGTCTTATTCTGTAGATGAATTATTCACTCATTCTTCCTTTTTATTGTGTAATCCTTTACTAACACTGATCCTCCATTATATGCAGTTATAATACTTTTTTCTGAATTATTTGAGAACTATATGCAGATGTTCCAGTTCACTCATAAATATTTCAACAAGGACATTCTCCTATATAACCACAATAACTTACCACTCACTAAGTTTAGTATTTACATAAGACATAAGATATGGTCCCTAATAATGTTTATAATTGTTTGCATCTCTAAGCCTATGACCCAATCAAGGTTCACATGGCACATTTAGCTATTTAGGTCTCGTTTCTCTATTTTCCTTTAGTTTAGAATAGTTTCTCCATGGATTTTTGGTCTTCTGGGATACCGATATTTTTGAAGAGGGACAGTTGCTTTGCATAATATTTTCCCCCTCAATTTTGATTTCTGAAAATTTTCATCAGTAGATTCGGGTCAAACATTTCTGGCAGGACTATTACACAGGTGATGTGTTTTTCTCAGTGCCTGACATAAGGAGGCTTTAGATGTCTGTTATATTGTTGGTTGGAAATGTAAATATGAGAACTGCAGTTACACAAAAGCCCTGCCAAGATTTTGACTGAAACAGACTTGTATTTAGAGGTTACCTCTCCTTCATTAGACTTATTTCTTGGTATCTTGTATTTTCTGTGCCTTCTAAGTCTTTAATTTAAAGATTTGTTTTTATGATAAACAGTAACTTTCTTTTTTTTAGATTTTTTATTTATTTGACAGAGAGAGATCACAAGTAGACAGGGAGGCAGGCAGAGAGAGAGGGAGAAGCAGGCTCCCCACTGAGCAGAGAGCCCGATGTGGGGCTCGTTCCCAGGACCCTGAGACCACGACCAAAGCCGAAGGCAGAGGCTCAACCCACTGAGCCACCCAGGCGCCCCAACAGTAACTTTTTAAAAATTATATTTTCTATCTATTTGTTGATAGGGATTATTTATCGCTGGTATTATTCCCAGCAGTTTTTTGTTTGTTTGTTTGTTTTTTTAGTATTTGTTTATTTATTTGAGAGAGAGAGAGAGAGAGAGTAGGAGGAGAAGGTAGGGCGGAGGAAGAAGGAGATAGAGAGTCTTAAGCAGACTCCACACTAAGCACAGAGCCCGACACAGGGCTTGATCTCACAAGCCTGAGATCAGGACCTGAGGTGAAACCAAGGGTTGGACGCTTTATGGACTGCGCCACCCAGGCATCCCAAGCAGCGGTTCTCTTTTGTAAACTAATTTTGTTACATTCACATTGTTCAAAAGTTCAAAGATACATGACTTACAGTAAGTCTTCCTCTAAAGCCTGGCCATAGCCATCTAGTTCCTTCCCAGAGGTCACCAATGTAACCAGTTTCTTATCTATTCTCCCACAACTATTTTATATACATACACATAACTGTGTGCATACCATGTTGCCATTAAATAAATGGCAGGGTTAAAAAATAAAAATCACAAGGATGGCCTATTGTTGGAGGGGTGGTTTGGTCTTTTAATCTGGCATTTGTAATGACTGTAAACTTCTCAAACACTCTAGAAAAAGAAAATTATTTAATGGAAAACTTCAAAATACCTGACAACCATTCCCATTCAGTATGTTTTGCTACAACAATTCCACCTGCCTAGAAAGAGGAAAGAAGCCCTTTGAAAAGAGAGGATCACAGTCCTTCCTCGTGAGGCCCTTCACTCCCTCAGTGCATACAGTACATCGTCCTGGCTGACGTTGAGCCGCACACGAAGGAGCAGGTCGTTCCTGCTGGGCTCCACAAGGAGGAGGCGGCAGGAGCCCAGGTGAGAGCACACTGCCATTGTCTCTGACATGGTGGGGTACGGAAGTCCCTCCATTCTGCACAGTGCCACGTGCTGAGTGTATACCTAGAAACAAAAAAGCAAATCTGAGGTCAGACGCCAGAAAGTCAAAGAAGAAAGAAGGTAGTACCAGTTCTGTACCTGATCATTTATTTCTTCCTATAGGCAAATCAGATACTTCTTACCCAGGATCCTCAATACCCTGAAGGCATCCACAGGGGCCCCTGTGGGGCACAAATGTGGGGGTGGAATGCTAATCAGGCTTTGGACTCAGGACAGGTCTGAATCCTGGTTCTACTAATCACCTAAATATGCAACCCTGGGCAAGTTATTTCACTTTGTGAGCTTTAGTTTTATCTGTTAAACATACTGCCACATCCCTCACGTGCTAATGGATATAAAATATCTAGTAATTGTCACTCATACAAACAGTCCTAGTCTCCAGGGAGTGAGAATTCCTAATGAGACTGTTAAAATTCAAGTCAAATTTTGCTATAAGGGCATTTTCTTTAGCAGATAATAGTACACAGGTACTAAAGCAAGACCCCTGAAAAAGCAGAGGCCCAGGGAGAATACTGCATAAAGAGAGGCAGGTCGCAGTGGGAAACCTGGATTCCTGAAGCATCTCCAGGGGGCCAGGCAAGCCTGCTGCACTTCCTGGTCACTATTCTCTTTAATAATCGCCCCCCACCCCCACCCCCACCCAGGCTGGGAGCTTGTCAAGAGCAGGGACATTGACCAATTCAACCCAGGGTTCCTGGCACACCTTCACAGTTAATGACACATTGTAGACGTTCAGGAAATGTTTACAGACTAAAATGAAAGCACAGTGGCTAAGAGCTGCCTCAGGCTCTAGACTGTGTGGCCCACAATCGTGGGCAAATGTAACTAGCAGTTTAAACAGAATTTAAAGTAAAGAAAACATGAAAGGAAGGACAGAAGTAGCTGGACCTCTCCATTTGCATGTCTAAAATACAGTCACACAGACATATGCACCCCCGGGTACACGCTCAAACACCTTTAACAATCTTTTAAGGCAGCCCATTATCTATGGACACTAGTTTTAAATAGACATTTAAGGCACTAGCTCTAGTGAGTCTTTTACTCAATATAATCGAAACTATGCTCAGAGTGTTTGCATTGATCTTTGTAATTTGTTTATAAAATGGGTCATTTTGAGAGCCTTATCCCCACCACACCATAGCTGTATTAGGGCAGTAACTCTTGTCTCTTTCATCTTTGTGTTTGATTTGTCTCTAATGATGTATTTATTTAGTTTGAGAAAGAGAGAGCATGAGCATACACAGGCAGGGAGGGGCATAGAAAGAGCCCGATGCCAGGCTTGATCTCTCATGACCTGAGCAGAAACCAAGAGTCTGAGGCTTA